GCGCCTGCTAGTGGTGAAGAGCTGTTCTGCCGGAGATCCTGGGGCAGGGCCGGGGGCGGAGCGTCCGCTTCCACTTAGGAAGAGCTGGAGCCCCCAGAGGAAGGGCCGGCGGCTGGCAGGAAGTGGTACGCTTGCTGCCCAGGAGCCTTCATGGCAGGCTGACCATTTTTTATGAGTGGGTGAGGGAGAACTGAATAGGAAATGCATTTAATGTGCTGCGTTCTGGATAGGCCTGTATTTAAGTAGGTTAAGTTTAGATATAGCTGGGGGTTTTCAGAGTTTTACGTTGTTAAAGCTAATTTTCTAAAGTATAGGAAAGCGGGCCGGGGATTTGGCTCAGGAGTTCCACCACCTGCCTCGCAATCCCCGGTACCAAAAAATAAAGAAAAGAAAGAGTAGGAAAGCACAGACACTGGTAGAGCTAAGACCCACATATCCACACCTGAGATTTCACATCGAAATCTGTTCCCTTTGTTTTTGCTTCGCTGACCCATGCAAACCCACCAATGTAGTTATACCACACATCCATCCATTTTCATGCCTAAAAAAATTAATAGTACTTCCCCTAGATGAGCATACTTATCAAGATACAAACTTTAGCAGTTGCCATAATGTTTTGTTAGTCGGTTTTTAAAATGAAGATCTAATCAAGGGCCAGGCATTTTACTTATTTCTCTCTTAATTTGCATGTGAAACCCTCTACCCCATCTTTGTTTTACAGATTAAACCCACAGCCTTCACACTGAGCCATTTTTATTTTTATTTTAAGCCCTTTTTATTTTTTCTTTTGAGACAGAGTCTTGTTACATTGCCCAGGCCGGGCTCACACTTGTGACCCTCCTGCCTCAGCCGCTCCGAGTTCTGAGATTATAGGTGACCACTATGCCCATTTCCCCCTATTTCTGGGCAGTGACTTTGTCCCATAGAATGTCCCACGTCTGGATTTGTCTGTTTCCTTGCAGTTGTGGTCTTCTCTCTCTCTCTCTGTTTCTTAAAGTGGGCAAACGCCAAATACCCAGTGACTGCGATTCCCAGTCACAGTGTCCGGGGCAGACCCCTCGCAGGACGTGCTGAGCACCGCTCAGACTGCTGTGTTTCTTCTTAGGTTGGCATCAATTACCAGCCCCCCACCGTGGTGCCCGGGGGTGACCTCGCCCCAGTGCAGCGCGCCGTCTGCATGCTCAGCAACACCACAGCCATTGTCGAGGCCTGGTGTCGCCTCAACCACAAGTTTGACCTGATGTTTGCCAAGCGGGCGTTTGTGCACTGGTACGTGGGCGAGGGCATGGAGGAAGCGGACTTCTTCGAGGCCCGCGAAAACCTTGCTGCCCTGGAGAAAGATTATGAAGATGTGGCCGCGGACTATGTGGAAGAGGAGGATGGGAGCGAGGACTACTAGGTGGCCTTGGCACTCAGTGCCTGATCTTTCACGCCCCAGTTTTGTCCCTTCTTCCATGTTTCCACAGTCCCCTGAGAACACACGTGTGTCACAAATACTGTGGCATTCTGTCCAGGCGCTGGCCTTCTCAGCCCCTGTGCAGTCGTCCTCAGTGGGGCGGACTGGCCTCGGGGACCCGGCGGCCTCAGGGACCCAGTGGCCTAGGGGACCCGGCGGCAGGGTCTGAGGCCTGGGGCCATATCCGCCTGTGAGCCCACACCTAACGCCTGTGCTGTGCTGTGCTGTGCTGTGGTCACTTCCTGTGGGGCCCCGCGGGCCCCCTGTGCCCAGCCCACCCCAAGGAAGGCTAAACCTGCTACAGGGGCCCTGACGGTTCTCTGCCCCAGCATTTGGGGGCAGAAACTGCTCCTTTCCAACGTCTGCAGGAAATGAAGCCGCGGTACCCTGGTCTCTCTCCTCTGGCCATCGGAGGGCAGTAGAGGCTGAGCCTCAGTCCAGCCTGCAGCAGCCATCTTACAGGTCGGGGCTCTGCCCGATGCCTGCTGAAGGGGTAGTGGCCAGGAGACAGGGCCCCTAAAAACAGGCAGCCTTACATGCGGGCTTATCCACCGTGTGGGAAATATTTAAAGTGCCTACGTGCCCTTTGGGCAAGAAAATGTGTACCTTTATTCTCCAAGGAGTCCCTAATGAGGAAATTGGAACCGCTCATCTTGGGACCAGCGAATGGGGGCGAATGTGGTCTTTGGACGTCAGTGCAGGGGTGAAGCGCTGGCCAGAGACCCCTTCCAGCACAGCCGGACATAAGGCGCTTTCTCTTTAATAATGACGTGGCAGGTGTCCTGTGCCAGGAAGCGGGCGACCTGAGCTCTGAAAAGGTGGGGAATCTGCAGGGACTGGCTGTGCTCCTGTCGGGGTGACCGCCAGAAGGGTCCCCACCCCGTACTCTGGCCTGGATGTACCACTGAGATTTGGACACTCATTCTAGCGTGTGATTCAGGACACGGATCTGCTTTTTCCTCTTCCCGAGATCCAGTGAGTCTTGAGGCTCCCTCAGAATGTCACCTGTGGCCTTGCTTTGGTTCCAGAGACTGATTGCTAGCAGCACTCTGGAGACTGAGTCCTTCCATCTGCAAGCCCTGCCTGATACCGTGAGGAGTTGGCGGATAGGATGGGGCCCCGAGCCAGAGCCACAGACTTCACCCCGAGTGTAGAGGAGCACGTGTCGGAGAGGGGTCGTGGCCCTGTGTGATTGGCCTTCCCAGGTGGTGTGTCTCTGTCCATTTTCCTTTTTCAGTTTTTATTTTTTGTGGTCCTCAGGATTGAACCTCAGGCTTTTGCCCTGAGCAACATCCCCAGTCTTTTCTGTTTTTATTTTGAGACCTTTTGATAATTTGCCTGGGCTGGCCTTGAACTTGTGGTCATCCTGCCTTAGCCTCCCACATTTTGGGATTACACGTACCACTGTGCCTATTTTTTCCATTTTTCCATCTTCCCCGTGACTATAGTTCTGAGTATAGAAGCCTGACAATCTCCTACCTGGCTTTTATTCCATTTTCTCTCAGTCTTTATAGTCCCTCAAAGACAAGATTGTTTTCATTTGTCTTGATTCTCCAATAGTCCAGCCCTTACACTGGTGCTTATTTTCCTCATTTCTGCCCCACCCACCCCACCTTTGTTCTTAGCAACATAGGTCTCCCCTACTTACATTTTAGGATCTCCTTACCTCTCTGTCTCTCCCTCCCTCCCCTCCTGATGGACCAGCTCCTGCTTCCTCTCCTACTTGAAGGGCTGGGACTAGATGAGGAATGAGGTAGAGAAGGAAAGAACAGAGGTTAGACAGACCTGCCCTAGGAAGGTGCCTATTAAATGACACGGATCTGTTCAAATGCTCAGCCAGTGTCTAAACCCAGAGCCCGGAGAGTTGATGTTTCTTTCCTTCTTTCCCCTGCTTTTACTCACTTGAGCATGTGGATTTATATCTACTGCACCCCCACAACTATAGCATAATCAGCACTGAAAATCACAGGCCAAAAATGCCAGCCCCAGTCGGCCTATCATTGCTTTACCTGCCTTACAGAGTAGCTACCACGGAGCAAGAGAATACTGATGGGTGCGAGGCAAGGATAGGCTGCCCTGGCTGGTATTTTTTGCTGTTTGTTTTTTGAGACAGGATCTCCCAACGTAGTGCAGGCTGGCCTTGAACTCACTATGTAGCCCCAGCTGGCTTCAAATCCTCCTGCCTCAGCCTCCCACGTGTTAGGGTTACAGGTGTGTGCGACCATACCCAGCTGGGGCTGGAATTTTTGATCTCTAGTTTTCAAGGCTGATGATTTTCTGGCTAGGCAATTCTTCCCCTACTACCCTAGACCACGAGAGACCACCCCTCCCTGCCCCAGTGGCCCAGGAAGCAGGAAGATGTCCACTGAGGGCTGGGCATCTGCTCCTGCAGCCTTGTGATAGATACAGATGACATCAGTTACCAGTAGGGCAGCGAGCATTTGGATCAGCTGGTGGCCCTGTCTCCTCTCATGGCCCGCAGGTGGAACAGAGCGCAGGTCACCTTCTCCTCTTCCCTTCCTTTAGTACCCATGAAATACACAGGAACAGCCTTTGTCAAATCAGTGCCCGGTCTTGGTCCCTCCCACCCCCTGCAATGCAGTGCACAGGGCCGAGTGCCAGGGAGAGTTTTGCCTGGGTTCCTTACAAATTCGAGCTTTAACAGGGTGAGCCTGGAGAAGACACATTCTTGCCTCTGGAGTTATGATCTGAAGTTACTGTCCTTGGACTCTTATTGAGCTTTCTATTTGCAGTATAAGCACAAAGGAAGTTCTTCTCTCTGGAAGATTCTTCTGTCTGGAGCCGGCACAAATGGGCTGTAGCCCTGGCCGGAGTGGATCTAACCCTAGATCACCCTCCAGTTTGTAGCTGCCCAGGGGCCCTGGAGCCCATGGAACTTGGTTCCATGGAATCTCTGGAGGGCAGGATGGCTGTTCTGATGGTGACTTGGGAGGAAAGGCTGGGGGGCTTCACTTGGATGAGAGAGAAGACTAGAGCCTTCTCCAGAGTTCCTGACCCAGAGTGGAAAGTGAATGACTCTTCTGTCCAGGAATATAGAGATAGGCCAGGAGACTTGTCTGTTTCTTTTTCTCCGTGGTGCACACTTTCACTCAGCTTTGCCTGTTTGTCAGACTGGTTCCCCACCTGCACCTGAGCTGTGCCTGAGATGCAGAGTCTTAGACTTGACTGCTTTGGCAGAATAAACTTGTTTGCCATTGATGTATCTTTATTGCTGTACTGCCTGAGAACTATTAGTGTGTGAACTTTCTGTCACCACTACAAAATATCTAAGATAAATTGTAAAAAAAAAAAAA